TGTAATTTCACCCGCTGAGGATCCTTCTTTTGTCAGAGCCCATTGCTGAACGTGAAAGATGCTCACCTTTGATGTGTCGCTGGCGATATTCACATCACGCCATTCATGAAACTCTGCCTGCAGACTAACAGTAGCTGCTCTGTTTCTGACTCGGATGTAGAGTAATGCTGGAAATCACGCACAGGATGTGATGCACTACACACAAATATGTTTAAATGTATATTCTTACATTGGAAAAAGAAAAATCCAAGCCTTTATTGACCATTAAAAAAATCCCAAACTGCATATTGGTTAAAAATGCATTGGTAAAGGTATTGCATTTTATGGAGAATTTGAGATATTCATCAATTACGTTTTTTAAATGTCTCAATTGTTTCTCATAGACCGAATTCTCAAGATTGAATTGAGCTTGGAGTCAGACTTTTTTTTTTTTTTGAAAGAAAGTAATACTTTTATTCAGCAAGGATGCATTACATTGATCAAAATTGACAGTAAAGGCATTTATAATGTTGCAAACTATTTCTATTGCAAATAAATGCTGTTCTTTTGAACGTTCTATTCATCAAAAACCCTGAAAAAAATGTATCGCTGTTTCTGCAAAAATATGAAGCAGCATAACTATTTTCAACATTGATAATAATAAGAAATGTTTCTTGAGCAGCAAATCAGCATATTAGAATGATTTCTGAAGGATCATGTGACACTGAAGACTGGAGTAATGATGCTGAAAATTCAGCTTTGCATCACAGCAATAAATTACATTTTTCAGATTTGCGCAAGGTAATCGACATGCAATCAAAAGTCAGAAATTTCAAACATTTCTCATCAAATTCAGCTGCTCCACATTCATTTTACAGCTCTGTACTCGTACCGTGTGTCTCATTTGTGTCTATTCTTACTTCTTTCAGGAGAGACATCTGAGATAACGTGGATATGGTGGAGCAGTAACATGTTCCTCTGGGATCACATGTTGATCACTGACACATTTGTTTTGCTCGTTCTCACCATCAATAACTTTAACCAAATGAGGTGTTTGAGTCTCTCAGGAGGCTCTTTAGGGCTGGTTAAAGTTGTGAGCAGTTAAGTGAGAACATGTGTATTACTGCTGCTGTGCCTGACACACACACACACACACACACACACACACACACACACACACACACACACTTTAAGCTCAGTCCTATGGACATAAGAGCAACCAGCTGTGCTGTACACTGCTTAAATTAGCTACTAGCTTGTGAATAAATTAGTTGTGAAATGTAGACAGACAAGAGTTAAAATGGCACAGAGCTTTAACACTTAAATACTGTTTATAAGGCATATTTGCTATTAAAAACGTAGCTTACCAATGCAAAACACACTGACACAATGCTAAGGTATTCCACAGGGTTGACAGTGCATTGATATGTGGTTGTTAGGATATTCTGAGTGGTTTTGCTAGGGTTGCTAAGTCAATGATACTGCTTGTACTCTTCCGTCAGTGTAAGTTTTTTGCAGAGTTTTATCTTCCAGCAGGCGGAAATGGTCTGATCACCTGATGATGATTGCTAATGATGTTTGACGTTAGCTGGGTGTAGATTTGCATAGTCTGGTTGAGTGCTGTTTGTCTGTTGTTTTATTACATGTGATGAGGCTATCAGAAGGAAACTCACACACGCACAGATCTGACAGACATTTCCTCTCAACGCCTGATCATCTCTAAGGGCTTGATTACATGTTTACACAGCCAGATGTCACAGTGATGTCCGATGCTACACAAACACACGTTGCCCCTTAACAGGGACAACTCAACTGCCTGATACAGTTCCATGCTGATCTCAAATTAACTAAAAAAAATATTACAACTAGAGACTGCACTTACTTAAATTTTTAGAAAAAAAAGATTTTAAAAGAAATTTGTTCAAAAACAGTGCTCAAAATAGAAGCTAAGGAGGTCAGATCAAACTTTTACTGCTTGGAGGATGCTCTTTTATAGCTCAAAAGACTTTCCATTATGTTTTATGATCAAAAGAAAAATGGTACAGAAGTTGTCACTGGGATGGTACCTTTTCAAAAGGTACGCTTTTGTAAAAATACAGACTTTATATGCACACTTTAGGTACTAATATGCACACTTGAGGTACTAAAATGCACACTTTAGGAACTAATATGCACATTTTATGGACTAATATATACAATATGCACACTTGAGGTACTAATATGTACACTTGAGGTACTAATATGTACACTTTAGGTACTAATATGCACACCTGAGGTACTAATATGCACACTTGAGATACTAATATGCACACTTGAGGTACTAATATGCACACCTGAGGTACTAATATGTACACTTGAGGTACTAATATGTTCACTTGAGGAACTAATATGTACACTTGAGGTACTAATATGTTCACTTTAGGTACTAATATGCACACTTGAGGTACTAATATGCACACTTGAGGTACTAATATGCTCACTTGAGGTACTAATATGCACACTTGATGTACTAATATGCACACTTGAGGTACTAATATGCACACTTGAGGAACTAATATGTACACTTAAAGTACTAATATGCACACTTGAGGTACTAATATGCCCACTTTAGGTACTAATATGCACATTTTAGGTACTAATATGTACAATATGCACATTTAGGTATTAATTTGCACACTTGAGGTACTAATATGCACACCTGAGGAACTAATATGCACACTTGAGGTACTAATATGCAAATTTTAGGTACTAATATGTACAATATGCACATTTATGTATTAATTTGCACACTTGAGGTACTAATATGCACACCTGAGGAACTAATATGCACACTTGAGGTACTAATATGCAAATTTTAGGTACTAATATGTACAATATGCACATTTATGTATTAATTTGCACACTTGAAGTACTAATATGCACACTTGAGGTTCTAATATGCACACTTGAGGAACTAATATGTGCACTTGAGGTACTAATATGCACACTTGAGGCACTAATATGTACACTTGAGGTACTAATATGCACACTTTAGGTATTAATATGCACACTTGAGGTACTAATATGCCCACTTTAGGTACTAATATGCACATTTTAGGTACTAATAGGTACAATATGCACATTTAGGTATTAATTTGCACACTTGAGGTACTAATATGCACATTGTAGGTACTAATATGTACAATATGCACATTAAGGTACTAATTTGCACACTTGGTACTAATATGCACACTTGAGGTACTAATATGTACACTTTAGGTACTAATATGCACATTTTAGGTACTAATATGTACAATATGCACATTTAGGTATTAATTTGCACACTTTAGGTACAAAGGTGTACCTTTTGAAAAGGTGCCGCCCCAGTGACAGCTTTGAGTTATCTCGGCATATCTAAGCCCAGTTTGAGACCTTATTAGGATCTCTTTTGAAACCCAAGAGGAGACATCCTGGGCTCTTTTTGTCAAGGGATCAATCTGAGAATCAGCAGACATCTCACTGCTGTCCAGGAAAAAAAACTGAGACATTAAAAAGAAAGTTTGATTTAAAAAGCACCAGACACAAACAACCACACATGCCTAAATCAAGATGCCCTGTGGCCTTAAAAAGGAAGGGATGTCAGTGCGAGACACCAGACAAACACAAACACACACTCACACACGCAGAGGAAACAGGAAGACCCTTATCTGCACATGGGCTCCATATGAGTAATGGCTAATTAAACTTGTTCCGCGTAAAACACCGAAAGCACATTGTGCCTCTCCCTGATGGGCTCATAATACTTGATAACAAACCAGAAACAATCTAATAACAGATCCATGACTCTGTTAGATACAGCCATTGCAAACACAAGTCTAACCTTTGATCACATTATAGAGGATGTGTTTCCTCATTTGCTGTGCCAGGGAAAACATTTATGGCAATATGTGGCTTAATTACTCTCAGGTTTCTGGGTGTCAGGACATAATTATGCATTTAAAAGGGGTTTAAATATTAATATTATTCCTGTGTGGTTCATTAAGACAGAACAGCCTGCACCCTGAATTTAGTTTGCATCAGGTGTTTTGCTTAGATATAATTTGCAATAATTTGCCATTTGCAAAAAGTGATTGCAGGTTATAGAAATGTCTGTAGAATAGAATAGAAAGTTGAAAATACTTTTTTATTTGATTTATATGCATGGGAATGCACATGAGACAATCTAAAAATGATCAATTATTAACAATTTTATTATAAAAAAAAGTTACAAAAACGTATTCATTTAATTATAAAATTAAAGCTTACTTATAAAAGTAATAATATTCCTAAACGGATTTCTGGATTTTTATTTTAATTAATTAATCAATGTATTCATTTAACTAATTTGATCAATAAATGTAATAATTTAATTCGAATTTAATTTATTTTTTCAATTCATAATTAATTCGATTTTAAATAATGAATTTCATGTCACAATGTTCAATATGTTTGCCTATAATGACATAATCCAGAAACTTTATTATAATAAACATACACACACACACACATACATATATATATATGTGTGTGTGTGTGTGTGTGTGTGTGTGTGAAAAGAGCATTAAAGTACTTTCAAACCATTAGAAGCTTCATTAAACATTAGATATTTTCAGATATATGCATCAATACATCAACTATTGATCTGTTAAGCATATGATAAGCAATTAATAGAGTTTAAAACTAATAATTAAATAGCCCCCTCTTCTTCTTCTTATTAACATCACAATGTTTTTTGACGTAAATTAAATCTAAATGACACAATTCAGTTCATAACTTCCATTACCACCATTATTGCATGATTAGTAATTGTAGGCTACATTCAAACTCATCAAATGTACATTTTAATCGGGTTTAATAAAACTCTAAAGTGTGCCTTTAAACCTGATTCATGCATTTTCTTAACAGATAAGGTGATGCATAACGTCTCCAAACACTCAAAATCGTATATTTACTGAAATGATTCGGAATAAACGGAGTGTATAGGCTATTATGAAGCGACTCACTGTAGGGATCGTCTTTGCTCTTGGTGCCGTTGACTCTGCCGTCTTTCCCGATCCTAAGGAAGAACTTCTGGAAGGAGAAGAGCTTCCGCTGGCGCACATCTCCCTGGAGGTGCACGTAGCTGCGCACATGCCGGCCGGAGGTGGAGGCGGACGAGGAGTTGGCGACCCTGAGCGCCCGCTGCACGGGACATGCGCTGCGACAGGTGACGCTGGACGCGAAGATCACGGAGACGGCGAGAAGATAGACGACACACACCGACCAGCATGCAGACACACTGTTACTCACTGTCCATCTCCTCATGGTACTTCTCATGGGACATGCTGCTCAGTGAATGTGCATGGAGGCCTCTCGCTCCAGAGAACTCCACTCAAGACCGGTGAAGAAAGCATGAAGTTGTGGAATTAGGCTGAGGAGCGAGTCTGTAAAGCTTCTGATGGTGATATAAAGTGCTTTATTAATCCCATTTGGGAATGGTTATCATGGCAGCACTTATTCCTCCTGCGTTTCCAGGGAATGTGCGTCAAAACGACCCTGTTCCTGGCATCCTGTCTCCTGATGTGATCTCCTACCTCCAGGAGGTTCACAGAAATGCTGCTGCCTCTCTCTTGGTTCCTCACCCCTCCCTACTCCTTGTCTGTCATTCTAGGTCCCTTCCTCCATTCTCACACTCGCACGCAGCTTTTGCTCCTCCTCGTCGTGTTTAGGGGATTGTCTGATAGGGCTTTTGTGAATGGCTGTTATCTGGAGCTCTTTGATAGTGAACTAGGAAAAGAGCACAAACAGACGCATGAAAAGATGAACAAACCTAACCAGAGGCCACTCATGATTGGTCCCATCTGATGATAAGAAGCTTTTAGTTTGATAAAGTTTTGGAATCGTAATGTTTTGTTGGGTAACACTTTACTTGAAGCAAATTTTAGGTACCTGACATGACATCTACATAATCATGACATGACACATGTCATGAATATGAAGGAGGTTTTATGCATGTTTATGACAACTGTCATTAAGTGTCATTCGCTCAGTTATGTCATTTTTAATGCAAAGATGACATTGTTTGAGATGTTATGGGCTATGGTTAGGGGTAAGGGTAGGGGTAGGGTTAGGTTAGGGTTAGGTCAAATAATGTCATATTTGCATTAAAAATGACATAACTGAGCGAATGACACTTAATGACAGCTGTCATAAACATGCATAAAACCTCCTTCATATTCATGACATGTGTCATGTCAGTCTTATGCACACCCCTTCAAGTAAAGTGTTACAGTTTTGTCTTTTCTTTTTCTCGTGGATCATGTCCTTTTCACCTTGTAGCTACAATATCCTGAGGTCTAAAGCAATACTGCTTGAAAACACAAGACGTTGGTTTGGTCTGTTACACATTACATGCCATTATTATTCTGTGGAACGTGTTAACGAATTGATTATTTTAGTAGGACTACAGGCATTCAACTAACATTTAATTGAAGAAAACAATCAAAAGCAAAACATAGTTCAAACAGTCAAATTTACGAAATTGGCACCAAACAAGAAATTCAAATCTTGTTCAAAAAAGCTTATTTGGCTGTTTAAAGAAGATTCTACACTGCTGAAATAATCACATTGTATTGTGTTAATATGAAGAAATTTTCCATAGCCTACTGATTACACAGGTGTTTTACCCTTCCCACGGGGAAGTCGTGGCCTAATGGTTAGAGAGTCGGACTCGTAACCCAAAGGTCGCAAGTTCAAGTCTCCGGTCCGGCAGGAATTGTAGGTGGGGGGAGTGAATGTACAGCGCTCTCTGCCACCTTCAATACCATGACTGAGGTGCCTTTGAGCAAGGCACCGAACCCCCAACTGCTCTCCGAGCGCCACAGCATAAATGGCTGCCAACTGCTCCAGGTGTGTGTTCATGGTGTGTTCACTGCTGTGTGTGTGTGCACTTAGGATGGGATAAATGCAGAGCACTAATTCCTAGTATGGGTAACCATACTTGGCCACACGTCACTTCACTTTCACTTTTTTTCAATTCAATATTCATGACATGTGTCATGTCAGTCTTATGCACACCCCTTCAAGTAAAGTGTTACAGTTTTGTCTTTTCTTTTTCTCGTGGATCATGTCCTTTTCACCTTGTAGCTACAATATCCTGAGGTCTAAAGCAATACTGCTTGAAAACACAAGACGTTGGTTTGGTCTGTTACACATTACATGCCATTATTATTCTGTGGAACGTGTTAACGAATTGATTATTTTAGTAGGACTACAGGCATTCAACTAACATTTAATTGAAGAAAACAATCAAAAGCAAAACATAGTTCAAACAGTCAAATTTACGAAATTGGCACCAAACAAGAAATTCAAATCTTGTTCAAAAAAGCTTATTTGGCTGTTTAAAGAAGATTCTACACTGCTGAAATAATCACATTGTATTGTGTTTATATGAAGAAATTTTCCATAGCCTACTGATTACACAGGTGTTTTACCCTTCCCACGGGGAAGTCGTGGCCTAATGGTTAGAGAGTCGGACTCGTAACCCAAAGGTCGCAAGTTCAAGTCTCCGGTCCGGCAGGAATTGTAGGTGGGGGGAGTGAATGTACAGCGCTCTCTGCCACCTTCAATACCATGACTGAGGTGCCTTTGAGCAAGGCACCGAACCCCCAAGTGCTCTCCGAGCGCCACAGCATAAATGGCTGCCAACTGCTCCAGGTGTGTGTTCATGGTGTGTGTGTTCACTGCTGTGTGTGTGTGCACTTAGGATGGGATAAATGCAGAGCACTAATTCCTAGTATGGGTAACCATACTTGGCCACACGTCACTTCACTTTCACTTTTTTTCAATTCAGCATTGGGTTAAAGGAAATGTCTGTGAACTCAATAGATAACGTCCTGGCAGAAAATGATCTACTTTTATTTTGTATGAACCAAATGAATAAAACTACTTTTGTTCTTCAGTTAAACGCAAAAGGAGATGTTTTAAAAAAAAGGATCATGCTGCTCTTGTCCATACAGTGATAGTTGGAGCCCGGTCTCATGAAAATGCGTATAAATAGTACGCCAAATAAAAACGAAAACTCGTGGTATTGATACGCAAAAATGGACTTTGGCGTGCATATAATACGCAGTTCTCGCGTGCATATGATACGAAATTTGTTGGCGTGCGTATTTAAACGCACTTTCATGAGATCGGGTTGATAGTTCATAGTGAGCATGCTTCAAAAAGACATAAAAACAGCCTAAAAGTAGTCCATAATACTCACAGTGTTCACACAAAAGAAGACAAATAGGAGAATGTCCAATAATGACAATCATTTCCAGGTTGTCATTATTGGACATTAACTTCTATTCTTCGTTTATCAGTAGCTGTGAAAGTTCTAGCTCAATTTGTCAGACGAGTCCTATTGCTCTGTAAAATTTCATTCAAAACAAGAACTAAACACACATCCAATTCCATTTCCACTCAAAACTGAGTGGAAAAGTTTTGACTTTTGCATTGACAGATCGCACACAGTTTTATGGAGTATTGATGAACTGAAATGTGTTTCCAGTGACAATGTCTTGTGTGGTTGGGTTTATCTGCCTTCTCAAACATCACTATCTTATCTGCATTTCCTGCTTTGTTTCCCCCTAAAAGCCTTTTCTGGATTCTAGAAATGAGGCTGGCTTGTTGCCCCTCTTACGATCACACCAACGTGTTTATTTTTCCTTGAAATATTCAATAATAAAAAGCCATAGTGCCGTAAACCTTATCCAGTCCTAGTCACACATTCCTGCATTTTAACGTGCTAAAAAGTCATGGATTTTATTTGAAAAACATGCAGTTGTCAATCGAAATGAGGCATTTCCAGTCTCCTTTCTCGGGCCACATGTAATATAAGAAAGATTTGGAGGATTGTGCTGAAGCCAGAGGTTTATCTTTCTCTGTGATCTGGGTTTTATCGGTTAGATTTATCTCGATAGATCTATCATCTCTCGGTAATGTTCCTCAAATCCAGTTAGAAACAGCACAGTTTCCCGACTTCCAATGAGAGACTTACATCAAATAACAGCATACTTAGAAAGAATATTGAATTACAGTCCACCATTGTTTTTTGTGACAAAACTACAAAATAAATGCATCATTTGTTGAATAGAATACATATGTGCAAATACTTTTTACATAAACCGTTTTAAAAGTAAAATAAACAAAAGTCAGGACTCAGGGGTGAATATTAAAATTTAATATAATGCACAGATACGAAATTTTTCAGTCGATATCAATAGCCGATTATTCAGAATCATACCTGCTGAAACCGATAATTTCGTTTTTTGTACATTATACAGGGAGCCCTCTCTTTTGGTATATAATATTAGAGGTTAAAATTAACAACAAGACTATTATATTCAATGCTGTTTATTTTCAGATAGAAACACTCAAAATAAAACTTTGTAAACAACTCAATTACACAGAAGGTAGTTTTCCTAAAAACGTATCTTCATGACAGATTTATTCAAACATACTGTATAATTGACAGTAATTAAGCTCCCGCTAGTGTTTTTTTTTAGGGAAATGTAGTTCAACCCTGGTTTGAACTATGGGTGTGTCACGAATCTGGTCAACGAACTTTTCTATTCATTGACTCTCGCACTACACAAACTGTTGCATAGCACCCAAACTACATTTCCCATCATGCATTGCACTGATTGCACTCAGCACGAATTGCACACACCTGTTTACACTGATTGCACCCAGCTGTTTCGCATCACTCCCTCACTATTTAACACTCACTCTGATCCCTTCCCTCTGCCGAGTATTGTTTCAGCGTTTATCACTCTCCTAGAGATAGCTACCTTACGGAGCCCTTGTCATTGCCTTAGCCCTAGTCATTTGCCTTAGCCTTAGCCCTAGTCATTTGCCTTAGCCTTAGCCTTAGCCCTAGTCATTTGCCTTAGCCTTAGCCCTAGTCTTAGCCCTAGTCATTTGCCTTAGCCTTAGCCCTAGTCTTAGCCTTAGCCCTAGCCCTAGCCTCGCTGTTTTCCCGGTTTCTGATCTTCGCCTGGTTTCCTGGATTTCTCCCTTAGTCTTGCCCCTTCTGACTCTGTCTGCCCATCGTCGACCCACGCTAGCCCTAGGACTGTTCTTGTGTCTTGCTCACCATATACCTGTCTGCCTCTGTTTGACCCTGCCTGCTTCATGACCACGTCTCTGTCTTCTCCACAATAAAGCCTTGCAGATGGATCCGCACGTCTCACGTCTTGTCAGCCCCGTAACAGGGTGATTCATAGAGTCAAACAGAACCCACGTTAATAATGCTGCATTAATGCTTTATTATTACTTTA